CTTTAATTAAAAAAATTTTATTCCCTATATCCCACTATTTTTGCCGTGAGAAATGTTTTCGTTAGGTTGTCTAGGACTTAAAAATATTAATTTGATATTTAATTTAAAGAAATAAAAATATTATTGTTAACATCATCACCATATCATCTTCAATGACAAAAAGAAGTATGAAACTCAATAGAATAAAAATAAAGTAAAATATTAAAAAAATTACTTTTTATGGTTTTTTTTTATCTTATTACCATTTAAAAAAAAAAAGAGATTCGAATCCTAATTTTAAAGTTAAATGATACATTTTACAAAAAAATATATAATCAATCAACCACAAAACTCAAGTGCAATTCTTTTTTATGGTTAAAAATAAAAAATTATTAATCATTCACATGAGATTTGAATTATTATCATCATCATTTATCTCACCTCACATCTACAAAGGAACTTTTTTTCTTGAATTATCATCATCATCATCATTTATCTCACCTTACATCTCCAAAGGATTTTTTTTTTCTTGTACACTAAATATAACCTATAGAGTTTCAAATTCTTATCCAATTAAACTACCCCTTAAAAGCAATTTTTGTCTACTTTTTTTCTTTTGAACAATTTTATAATGGATCAGATTCAAACTGTTACTCGAAAAATAAGAGATATATTTAAATGTGACTTGATGCAACTGAGTTCCAATACCCAAGTGCCTAATTTTTGTTTACTTAATTTTCTTTTTAGATATATAAGTACATTTGACGAAGAATGGACTATGCATGGAGATTGTTTCCTTCTTCAAATCTCTCTCCCTCCCTCTTATGACTAGTTCAAACTTAAAGTCTCCCATTTTATAGACTCAAAGTCTTACTTGAAACATTTCTCGAGGGCTAGGAATACTATTTATAACATTATGGAGGTTGGTATTAATGTCCATCAAAAAAGGTGGAATATTAACGATGATACACACTTGGCAGTTTTTGTCATTGTGTAAGGGGAGATGAATTAAAAGGAAAAATCTCTTGTCATGCTTTGAAAAGTACAGCATGCATAAATTCAAAAGTACATCGTTTATATGTGGACAGAATTAGCTCAAAACCACATCAGTAAAAGGTGGGTTAAGATAAGGCCGGTTGGAAATCTGAATTTTGTTAGTTGAAATAGTAGAATAATGCATGGAAATAGATACCTAATTATATAAATTATGCAAATGCATATCAAATTTCATATACAAAGCAGCTAATAAACACTAGAAAAATTTTGTTATATATCTGCACTCAAAATTTTTTAGATATAAGTATTTATACCTGCAATTTATTATTAGTTTGTGGGTGTATAAATACTTGATATGTAAAGACTAAAAATTAAATTTTAAATTTATAATTAAGAGCAAAATAATTTTACCATCAAAATATATAATTGATGATATAATTTGTGGGTATATGTTTAAATATACCAACATATTTTTAAACCCAAATGACGAATTAAATAAGGTATGAATTGAAATTTTTAGGCTTTGACTGTTAGATAATCACATGAAAAGAACTTTGATTGTTTATGACCTGACTTCACTTGGAAAAATGCTTGGAGTTGTTTGTATCTCATCCTTTCAAGTTAAAAATACTATACCACTCA